CTCCATTACCACTTTCTTTCACCCTCCTTGGGTTCTTAACTTTCAAACAATATTTTCAGTTTCTAAGCATGTAGGAAATAATCATTTACAAAAGTAATGCATATTGCAAATCAGGTGCATCTTCATTCTACTCACAACATCTAGTCATAATTTTGCCGCTACTATTTTTCTCAACTGTTCCAGTCCCTCTGACAAGATCTGGAATGCTTGACTGCTTTTCCCCTTGATTCTTAATAGTTGGTATCTGATTCCCCTTATATAATGTCTTTATGCAGTAATTTAAATAACCCTTATATGTTGCTATGATACTTGTTTGTTGCTGCTGTTCCAAACACCATTTGATGCATGGTATCTTACTGAGGTAATTACAAGACTGAACTTGGTAAACAAAAGTTTTCAAAACATGGAAGCTTTGTTTCTTGGCATTAACTTTCCCTGACAATGATATTCCTAGAATCTATTTAGTATGAATGTTCTAATAAGGACAAAATCAGGTTTTTTAAACAATTGTATTTTACTTCTGCCTGTACCAGTTCTCAAAATATTTCTGTGTGTGATTTTGTGCAGATTTCTGGGCTAGAAGGAAAATGAGACTTTTAAGGTTAAATAGGGTGTGCAAGAAAGATAGATAGATAGATAGATAGATAGATAGATAGGGGCACCAAGATTGACAAGTAGATATTTGTTAAATGTATATAACATTGAAGTGTTTCTGAACACTCTGCTTTCAGAGTCAAGAAAGGCTTTTTTAAAAACTTTACAATCATTAATTAGGGTTGATTGTTGGTTCCTCACTTAATACATGATAATGAATCTGAGGCTGCTGTGGAACTATTGAACTGAATGTAATAGTTTCCATTTTTCATGAGAAGCGGGAGTTACTAATTAGTCCTGGTTATATAAAACATACACCATGGGCATCTGCAGGAATTTTTCCAGAGCGGGGCAAAGCTCCGCAGCATATTATGGTTGTAATTCATGCAATTTCATGATTGAAAAAGTTGGATTATGTGGTGGTTTAATCAAGGCATAATCAAGTTGAATCCAACAATATAAAAGGGGTTATGCAAACTGGAGGTGAAGGTAGGATCGACAGTATCTGAAATACAACAATTTGGCCCTGCCTTTTAGAGTCAAACTAGATCTTACTTTAAAGATATAGCATGCTGCTACATCTTTTTTTATCTACTGTTGGGGTAGGGTTACAATTTTTATTTAAGAATTGCATTAAATAATTAAATGTTATGTAATAATAGGTATAATCCCCCCCATGTTTCCTAAAGTACTTCAGAAAAGGCCCCGTTGGCAGCAATGGACTGGAGTGTGGATGGTTGTTTCCCAGCAAATACTGGACTGTGCCAGCTGTTAGAAAATACTGTTGTTGCTATGTGAGCTGCCACCATGTTCTCTCACACTTCAACAATTACTGCCTGGAGCTCAGGGAAACTCTAAATATCGTGTGAGAACAAAGTAAACATTGTTAACAATGTGACAATGAGAAACTAACTAGTAACACTTAGCAAATCAATGGAATGTCTGTGGAATGACTTTGTCAGATTGTTGCCTATATGAGATTTTAGTCCCAGCTAAAATCTACAAGGCTAGATATTAAATCCAGTCAAGATGATTCCCATACAGTATTTTCTTTCTTCCCGAATTTACATCTTGTATGACTGTTGGTTCCTGTTTCTAGGAGACCAAATGTGCACAAATATTTTTAGCAATTTTGCTGAAGTCACCCCTCCCACCTGACTTGGACCATTTTTGGCTATGGGATCAGAAATTTGTAAAATGTTTGTTCAACATTTGCAACTTAACAAGTCCCCTTCGGAAAATAATATGGGTTAAAAGTTTTATATTTAAAATATTTCGATAAATTATTCATTACTAATGAAAATCTTCCTTTTATATGGTATATTTTGTAGTATCATTACATGTCCAAGGTATTATCATTTTTGTTGAACTTTCTATGAAGATCACAACATTATGTGAATGTATTCTTAGAAAGATGCTATAGGCCAGTTCCATTGATGCTTATGTTTGTGTCATGTACTGGCTTGAGATTTAAAACACTCCTGGTGGCAATTCTTAAGCATAACAAACTAGAGGAAGGAGTCTCATGTGTGGACCTTGTGGGTGGACTCTTAGGCTTTTGTCAGTATGAATGGAGCAACTCTGTGAAGAACAATACTGACATCCTATGCAAAATATCTTCAGTCATCTAGAATCTAGTTTGCCCAAGAGAAACAGATTTTGGGTAAACTTTTCAAGAAACTTCCTAATGATATGAGCTGTTCATCTGTGGAACAAACTACTTTAGAAGATGGTCTCTACTTCTCTGGAGTTGTTTAAGTAAAGGTTCTCTCTAAGGGATGCTGTCATTGCAACATTCATGCACAGAACAGAACATTGGTCTTCCAAGGATCTTTTGAACTATTTGTAGTCAGACTCTTAAAAACATATAGAATCCAGGTTAGGGACTTGATCAAAGATGTGTACTTAAAGACCAGCACACCCTTGATGCTAAGGAGCGCTTACATCCATATATGCCCAGCCGCCCCTTGAGATCAGCGGGAGAGGCCCTTCTCCGGGAACCCTCCGTGAAAGAAATTAGGAGGGTGGGTACTTGGAGGAGGGCTTTCTCTGCGGTGGCGCCTAAGTTATGGAATGCGCTCCCCAGAGAGGTCCGCCTGGCGCCGTCGTTATTTGCTTTTCGGTGCCAGGCGAAGACCTTTTTATTTAAGCGGCATTTTAACTGTTAGTATTATTTGATCTTATCTGGCCAGGGCGGCTTATTTTATATTGTATTTTTTGGATTTTTAATGTTTATTTTTATTGTAATTTATATTATAATTACTTTTATTTATTGTTGTAAGCCGCCCTGAGGCTTCGGCGAATGGGGCGGCATAAAAATGTTTTAATAAAATAAAATAAAAATTCCAACCCACAGGTAAATTAAGTGGTTTGAGGGTTAGTCTTATGGTAAAATTCAAGTACATTTAATAATACAGACTAGAATAACTTGACACATGTTTTTATAGGAATTTAAGAAGGGACTTCTGGACTTTGATGTAGCAAGTTCCCCAGTTGGACTATTTTAGGATTAGTGTTGATTTCTCCCTCATTCTCTTGGAGATCATCCTTCCCTTTTCCCATATGATTTAGTTCATATAAAATTCGAAGTACTTACACTGCTTGATAATGTTTAGCACCAGTAGTTAAAGTTTTAGGGAAATTGAATGAATTTACTGATTTAGCATGTGATAAGCAAAAATGTGACCTTTGTCCAAGCACCTTAAGGATGTGCTGTGATGTGTGGTGGAAGCATATGGCATTTTACAGTTCATAACTGCAAAATTAATGCCTGTGAAACATTGCCATGCATTAATATTTGGAACAGAGGGCAGGAAATAAAAGTGTGTTAAAAGGAATGATTGAAAGGATATTAATCTGCATTATTTTTTCTACTTCTGTTAAACTAAAGCACTTGTGATTTTTTTTTTCCCTAGCAAAGCAGAAACACTGCATTGTCCTACTTAATATTGAATTATTGTAGGTCAAAGAGATGTCACCAAGATCCCTGAACAATAAAATGGTGTTATTTGTTTAGTTTTCTGGTAGCCAGATGTTTCATAAGTCACATTTGTGAACAAACATTGTTGATTTTAAGTCATTACTGATGTTGGGAGTGAGAAAGACAGTTGTTCTTGGTGCATTCTCAAGGCCTGCTGATTGGGATTCAGAGGAGGAGCTGGAGGGGCCTCCAAATGTGGGCCAATTCCAGATGTTTGAGATGAGAGAAATTGAGGTGCTTATCTCAAGAGCAGACTCTCCAAGTGTGCAGGCAGACTCTGACAGTGACCCAGATCTACAGTTAGCAGGAGGAGGCTTGGAACAGGGGAGTTTCTCAGAGACAGATTAGGTGGGTATGGCGCTTGATCCCATAACACAACCTTGAATGAGGAGGTCAGCCCCAATTAGAGGACTGGTGTACAGAAAGGATGCATGCTTTTTCCAGAAGACCCCTCCTGAAAGGATGGGGCCCAAATACACTCAGTTCCTAGAAGTTAATATTAGATGGGGTTTAATGACCCACTCTATGCATACTCAGAAATTCATTCTGGGTGCTTGTGCTTCTAAAAATATTTTGGTCAGTAAAGAATGCATTGCAAGGAAGATCTGTTACTTTGAATGTATGAAGGGAGAAAATCTAGTTTACGACAGCTGATTTATATTTTCTCTTCCCACTCCAAAAGTGAAGTACCTAGATTTGTCTACTGCAACAAATGGACAGGAAGTTACAGATTTTCTTAAGCTAAATCCATCAGATTGCACCATGTGAGAAACCAGACATCAATGTATTCAAAGATCCAAGATGGCCAAACTTACCATAAGGTAACTGAGAGTTGACTGCAAATGTTAACACAGAGAAGTCTATATCCAAGTGTTTGGATATGGACTCACCAAAATCAATCCTTATAGTGAATCTACTCTCAGTATGATCAGTGGCCATTCTTGATTTTATTTCTTGAACAGTTAAAGGAAATTTAAAACTCAATTGTATGAATGACAGCCTTAGAAACAAACAGTAAAAGCAACAGGACAAATCTGTTGAAACTGATGATCTGAGATCTGGTATACCCCTTGTATTCACTGTGAAAATGCTAATTAAAACAGCTAATGTTGAGAGGTTTCCAGCTATAGTATCTAATAATGTCATACCATATAGACATACAAGAAATTTCTGTGTCAGTAGCTTCCAGAAATTTTGGGAAAGATGTGGAGCCTCACAACATAACCGATTTTGTGGGAAGTAATTTAAATACAATCGCTGGCTAGATGTCCAGTTACCTTACATGTGATTTGTGTGTTGGCTACTTTTAGTGCTTCATTAACAAATATCTTTCTATTCCCTGCAAACAATGTTTCTGTATGATAATCATATCTTTTTCTTGTTTGTGTCTTTTTTTTTTTTTTTTTTTGCTGCGCACCATTTGCAGGAAGTTGAGGTTTGTATATTCCTTCTGTATTTCTGGGACCCCTAACCCCTTGCACATATTCACACTTCTTTCCAGATTCTAAACATGCACTTTCTTTTTCTGCTACAGGATGATTATTTTCGTACATGGAGTCCACCTAGATCTTTTGATCAAGGTAAGAAATCATCAGATGAATAAAAAGGGTCTGGCACTGTAACACATTTCTTTGTGTGAAAGAATGAAAAGCTTTAATTGTTCTGCTATTTCTTAATAGTAGTTAAAAGGAAAACTACTATTGTTCAGGATAACTTTTCACTTATTCTTCTTTCCCACCTCATACATCTGTACAAAGTGAATTAAAGAAGCTTACCAGTATAAGTTTCCAGTAACATCAATGAAAATAGTACAAATAAGGCTTCATTTCTTTTAGAGGTCACCAGAAACAGCTTCTTGGAGCCAAAGTAGACATGCTGCTTGTCATATTTATGCGGCAGCTATGGCTGCTCCTCCTCCTCCTCCTTTGACAGAACTAGTTAGGGAATGAGATGGAACAGACAGAAGGAGGTGGGAAACTAGTTATTTATAATGGGAAGAAAGTTCTCATTGGTGCTGATGGATTTTTACTTCCAGGGCAGAGGCTGAAGGGCTTTTCTCTTCTCTAAGCTCTGGTGTTGATTTGGGAACCTCCACTTTGGCATGTGTTTGTTTGGTCCCTAGTATCTCAGGATAGACTTGGAAGTCTGTTTTTGCACACATTATTTTTCCAACATTAGTGCAGTGGAAAGACATAAGATATGGAGTCACATATGAAGAATCTGTTGTAATGCATATACAGACATACTAGAATTTCTGGCCAACTGCATGTTGTAATTACCTTTTGTCTGTGCATCTGTCTGTCTGTCTGTCTGTCTTTCATACTTGTGAAAAAGTATGGATGAAATGGATACGGCAAAGTTGTGAGATTAGACTGTGAAGAATGTTCAGGCATTTCAGAAAAAATGTGGCTTATTATTATTAATATAATTCCTCTCATTATCCAGTGAATACTCTTGGAAAGGAAGGAAAGGAAAGAATCTCTTTAAGAGGAAGTTTATGGCCCATTCTCCTTCCATATCCAAAAATATTTTCTTGCTGTTTGGTTCAAGTTTTCTATCCTTCTCCAAACAGATTCTTATAGTGTTTTTCCATCTTTTTGCTGTTTTCAGCACTGACCCCAATGTGTAGTATAATCAGTGTCATTCCCATAGTAACCAGATTTCAGATGCTTCCACATGGAAGTGTGCTTAGGCAAGCTTCTGGCATATGTGAATCATTGTGTTGTTCCCATAATAATGTCATTACTCTTATATATTTTTCACTTCTTCTAAAATAGTATTTCCTAACAAAATAGAAGTTGCTGTGTTAAAATTTCTGTATACAGTCATAAGGGCAGACCTACTCTTCTGTGTTATGTTACATCTCTGTTAAAACTGGCATCTTTTGTTTTCATAGGTTGTGGCAAAGGTATCAGAGTGCACTCTGTTGAGACAAACACCCTATATATATGGGCATAATTTGCCTTGTTCTAAGTAATACTAGATTTATGATATTTCCAGGTGTAAAGACTAAACAAGAATACAAAAAACAAGTATTCAAGCTTAGATAGTGGTTGTATTGTTGCATGACTGAGTTTGGTTTATTGTTATTAGTTTTCCATGTTGAAGAAATACATTATGCTGTTAATTTTTTAAATACTTACTTTAAAAATTATTCAGTTTAATGAATATGTTTCTAAACTGCACTGTAAAACTGCATTCACATTTTAGCACCTTATGCTATTAATTTATATTATAGCTGCCATTGTTTGTGGTGGGGTCATGACGAGGTGGTGGTGTCATTTTTTGTGCAGACTGAAATCATGTTTTTAAAGCTAGTAGTTCCTTGACAGAATCTTCCTTTCACAGATTCTGTATGGAAAATTTGAAACATTTAACATGCCATATTTGCACCTTTTTGTTTGCTGCAGAAATTCCAGTCAACTGGCAGTTTAAGGGGAAATATTTATTGCTTTATTAAGTCACGCAAATTGCTTTTGTTAATCTACAGTCATTCATACAACTGTTGCAGCATTCTGTGTTGTTAATTGTTAAAAAGGTATATGGGTAAATAATCATGTGTCATCTTGCCTAATTTAATGTAAAGGTAATGGTAAGGAAAAAAATGGCATATGGAGTTAGATTTCTTTTCTTGCCAACATGCCCTTATATTATTTCTTACTGAAATTGAGATTCTTTGTGAACTTACTACTACTGCCAAGTAGTTCAGCTATATTTTGAGTTACAACATGACAGTAAAATTTCCACAGTGAGCTATTTTTAAAGCAATATGCTACATGTGTTTCTTAATTTAATTTATATTGTGGTGAAACTTGCTATTTTTTACCTGTCACCCTCAGCCCAAATCACTGCCATAGATACTTCCAGTGACTCTTACCAGTTGTACAAAATGGTGCATTAAGACTGATCATGTGTTTTTTTAAAAAAATCTTTATGTCATGAAGTCTTTCTTAGTTGACCAGTCACTAGTATTTTATTGATAATCTACTTTTTAAAGAACTCTGTCTCTTATTGTTCACTGTTCTGTTCTATACACATCTGTATAGGTGTGGAGTTATATATAAATGTTGCAAATAAATAAAGAAGTTTAAGATTTCAATGCTATATATGCCTAGACAGAGAAAGCTAAACAAATCCAACCATTCTCCAGTCAACCATTCTGGCTGAGGAATGCTGGGGATTATAGTATCTTTGGCTTCTTTCTAAACATGAATAGGATTGTACCCTTTAGGTACACCCAGTCCTCCAGTTATGAATGCCCGAGTTAAGAACAATCCTTACTTAGAAATGAGTAAACCTGGGAATCTTACCTTGCCCTTGAGTGGGAATCTAACCTGCCCATGGGTGGTGAGTGGCAAATGCAAGGCAGCAAGGAAGGAAGGGATGCAAGGAAGGAAGGAAGGAAGGAAGGAGGGAGGGAGAGGGAGGGAGGGAGGAAAAGGGGAGGAGGAGGGACAAAGTGGCTAGTGGCAAAGTTGGAACTAGTTCTGCGACAGTGGCAAAACTACAGTAGTTTTTCATGCTCATGCAAAAGTAGCATATCCAATAAAAAAAGTTTGCTATAGAAACTGTTCTCTGCCTTTGGAGATCAATGTAGACAAGGTTCAGCATGGGTGTAGGAGCAAGCTCTCACAGACTCAGGCTGAGCTGGGCCAAAGTTTTTGCCTGTCATATTGAACCTTAGGGAACCTTAGGGAAGCACTGGCAGATCTCTCTCCTTTTTTGAGCCACAGTCGGAACAATACTGTCTGGTTGGATCACGTCATACACAACCCTAGGACAACATGCCATGCCTTAGCTGGGAATTGATTGTTCAAAATGGCCACCTGCACATGCTTTAAGTTATGTTGGCTTGAGATTATGTTGGGCTGTTTGTTCATGAAAACTGGCACAATATATTACCCAATGCAAATGATTACTATTAGAATGCAGCTGTTTTCAAATTTTTAATGAAGTATTTTATTGAATGCATTTATTTTAACAAGTCCGTGACTAATTTCTGTAACATTGCGACTGCTTCCTCTTTTTCGCAGAAATACCCACTAGGAACAGTACAGGATTTTATGTAATGCATACAAGATATTAAATGACATTTCTGTGTGGGTATTGTTTGTCAACAGAAACAATAAAGCATTTTATGGGTTACTTCAAGTTTACAGTATGTACTGTTATCCAAGCATTTGATAAAAAACAGGAATGAGACCATTTCAGCTTCCTGATTTTTTTAGTTCTTGCCTAGTTAAGTTATAATTCTATTGTATTGTGCATTAAAAGTAGCAAATGGGTTAATTTCAGAATCCTGTTTATACCTAATTTAATTTTTACATTCATTTTGGTATAACTTAATGAACATATAGGCTTATAGTTAAGCTGTGTAGATTGCAAGGACTATAGTTCAGTGGTGAAGCATGTGTTTTATATACAAAAAGCCGCACAATACTGCATTTCAGGGTAGGGTAAAGGAGAACTGTTAGAAACCCCAGAGAGAAACTGCCATTCCATGTATGTAAATGAACCAATTGTTTCTTTCAGTAAAGGCATCTTCCTCTCTTTCTTAAAAGAACAACCTATTTTATTGATATGAATGCATCTCTGAAGTAAGAACTTTTAATCGTATTTCCCCTTGTAATTCTGGTTAGGCAATGAAATTATTCCTATGCGACTTTTAAAGTTCTGAAGTTTTCTTCAGCTGCTTTAGCATACTGAACTTTTCAAAATGTAATTTCCAAAAAGGAAGTTTTATGTTTAAGAATTTCAGTCATAGTGTGGTAAGGTATGCTTATGAAACCACTTGGAACTGATTGATTGATTGATTGATTGATTTTCTATGCTGTCCATTACTAAAAAAGTCTCTGCATGGCTTCCAATCATGTGGCTTATTTGGCCTCTTCCACTAACAGAAGTAAAAGAAGTACAGTGGTACCTTGGCTCACAAACTTAATCCGTTCCATGACTCTGGTTGCGCTCCAAATTGGTCATGAGCCAAGTCAAATTTCCCCATAAGGTCCAATGTTCTGTAACTATTTTTTTAATCACAAAAATTTGAAGCAAAGTGACAAAGAACAAAAAAAATCGTGGCCGTCTCTCCCCCCACCCCCATTTTCTGAGCATGATCGTGATTGTCACCCGATGTGGGGTTCACGACCTGAGGCAAAATTTTTCTGAAATTTCTGTTTGCAACCAGATTTGGTCGTGAACTGAGGTGTTCGTGAGCCAAGGTACCACTGTATTCTGAACCCCCTTTATGTAGGTTAATAGATGGACTTAGAAAGTTATAACTATGTGCTGTAATAGAATTAATCTGGGGCAGGGGTTTGAGGTTTTGTTTCCTAGCCATCTTGAATAGTTCTGGTATAGTGAGTTTTACTCTAGCTGATAAAAGAAGACTGAAACTTGGTCTTTTTCTCTCTGTAAATCAGGAATATTATTTTTGTTATGCTGTTCTTTATTTTGTACTTACTCTGAGTTAATTTTGTGAAACTCCACCTTATACAATTAAATGTATTTAACAGAGAAATTAGGTTCTTGGATTCCATTTAAACACAATATCCAGTCTTGGGAGAATTCTGTATGTCCCCAG